GGGAGTGCCCTCCCCCCCGGGGGGTTGTTTTCTCGCTTTCTGTCTCTATGTCTCTGTCTGTCTGGCAAACGCTGTGGTCGACTACGTGGGAGTCCAGCGACAGAGCCATTACGCTAACTGCTGGTTCCTGGTCTCTCTCTTTTTCTGATAAGCACATATCCCCTCTGACAAAATTTAAGTAATAATTAAATTTTTAAAAATACTAAAATCTAACTTCATGCTTCTACACCAAAAAATCTGTGAACTTGAGGCTACACTAAAACCACAGAAACTCAAGAGTTAAGGGACCAGCAGATGGCAGCACGGTTATGTCGCTGGACTCCCACAAAGTTGACCAGTGCTCAAATCCTGGACCTGGTGACTTAAAACTCAGGCTGGGTATGTGTGTGCACGCACATGCCACCACCCACCCCTCAAATCCAAAAAGAATGGAGGAGAAGGAATTGCAGTGTGGCCATCCCCCACGGAGGGTGCATTCTCTCTGGCAAGCATACGCACACCTATACCTGAAACCCTTCCATAGGGCATGCTGCAGGTAAGTGAGCAGTTTTGCTTGCTTCAAAAACTAGCATTTAGCCCCAGGGGCATAAGATTTCAAAATGTCCCACAATACAATGGAACAGTTCCTGAAAATGAAGCATTACCACACTCAAAATTCTAGTAGTCAACCACAGTTCAAGTCTCAGACCCGGTGGCTTAAAACTCACACCAGGTAAGTATGCATGCACACCCAAAATCCTGAGAGGAAAATGAAGAAGGAATTATGATGTGGCCATACCCCCTTAGGAGTGATTTCTCACTTTCTGTCTCTGTCTCTCTGGAGAGCACACGCACCCTATAACAATCTCTTTAAATAAAAAAAATTTTCAAATACCTCCTCCACTAAAAACACTAATGTAGTACAATCTCTTACCCAAATAAGAGGTATCTATATCATCACAATAAAGCCGTATGAAGCGACCAGCAAATGGTATAGCAGTTACGCTGCTGGTCTTCCACATGGCTGACCATGGTTTGAGTCCCAGACCTGGAGGTTTGAAAATCGTGCCAGGTGTCCGGGCTGGCACATGGTGTGGTGAAGGGTACTAGACTACCACATGGTCAACCACAGTTCAAGTAGTAGCTTGCTTTCTCACTTTCTCTCTCTTTCTCTCACTCTGTCCCTCTCAAATTAAAATAAAATAAATAAAGTTACATAAACATAATTCTTTTGAAGAGGTGTTTTTTTTTTTTTGCTATAGGGCCTGTGCACTCGCCAGAAAGATAGAGAGGCAGAAAGTGAGAAATCACTCCCCCCAGGAGGTGGCCACGCAGCAATCCCCTCTCCTCCATTCTTTTCTCGGGATCTTGGGCACACACGTACACGTGCCTGGCGTCAGTTTAAGCCACCGGGTCCGGGATGCGAACCGCGGTCGACTATATGAGAGTGCAGTGACATAGCCATTACGCTAACTGCTGGTCCCAATAAACATTAATTCTTAAAAAAAAAAAAGAAAAGAAAAGAAACTCGGGAACCAGCAGTTAGTGTAATGGCTATGTCGCTGGATTCCCACGTAGTCGACTGTGGTTCGCGTCCCGGGCCCCGGGACCCAGTGGCTTAAAACTCATGCCAGGCGCGTGTGTGTGCGTGCCCAAGATCCCGAGAGTAGAATGGAGGAGAAGGGATTGCGGCATGACCATCCCCCCTGGGGAGTGATTTCTCGCTTTCTGTCTCTATGTCTCTCTCTGTCTATCTGGCGAGCGCACGGGCCCTAGAGCAAAAATCTCTCCAAAAAAAAAAAACTGCTTTAAAAAGAAAAAAAAAAAAACAAACAAAGAAAATCACACCAGGCGTGTGTGTGTGTGTGCATGCCCAAGATCCTGAGAGGAGAATGTAGAAGGGACTGCAGTGCGGCCATCCCATTGGAGAGGGTGATCTCTCACTTTCCCTCTCTCCCCATTCCCCAGCACATGTTCTATTGTAAAAATCTTAATAAAAGAACAGGAGGGACCAGCAGATGGTATATTGGTTATGTCACTAGACTCCCACACAGTTGATCACGGTTCAAGTCCTGGACCTGGCAGCTTAAAACTCATGGTGAATGCGTGTACTTGTGTGCCTAAAACCCCAAGAGAAGAATGGATGAAGAAAGATTGTGGTGTGGCCATCCCCCCCCAGGGGGTAATTTCTCATTTCTGTTTCTCTGTCTCTGGTGAGCACACACGCCCTAAAGCAAAAATCTCTCCAAAAAAACCAGCATATACACAAATCTAAGAAATAAACATTCACCAACTTCGGTATCATAGATGTATTGTAAAGGGCCTTCACAACTACTGAAAGCTTATTAGTATCTGATAGTGTGTCTTGAGAAACCCATTGAAGACAATGAACAAAGTGCATTTAGATGCAATTCAAGGGTCTGTTTTCTCCTAAAATTCTTACATTGCAGCTCTAACTCCTAAGGTTTGGAGGTAAGGCTTGTGTGAAAGTATGCCCTAATGAATGGCATTAGGACTCTTATAAGGAAACTCATTCACTCCCTCCACCTTGTGAGGACACAGAGAGAAGGCACCATCCGTGAACCAGAAAACGGACTCTTGTAAGATACCAAATCTTGGGCCTCTTAGCCTCTACAATGGTGAGGAGAAAACTGCTGTCAATAGGCTACCCAGTTTCTGGTATTTTGTTATAGTAGCCCGAATGGAATAAGACATGAATACTGATTCATAGAACCAAGTGGTCACTGGGGCTGGCAGGAGGCATTGTGGTTTAACTCCCGGGACCAGCAGTTGGTGTAATGGCTATGTTGCTGGACTCCCAGGTAGTCGACCGTGGTCCGAGTCCCAGACTGGTGGTTTAAACTAATGCTGGGTGCATACATGTGCATGTCCAAGATACAAAGAGGAGAAGGGACTGTGGCATGGCCATCTCCCCAGGGAGGGATGGGGTGTTGATTTCTCGCTTTCTGCCTCTCTGTCTCTCTCTTTCTGGTGAGCGCATACACTGTATAGAAAAAACAAAGGTGCTGGACTCCCACATGGCCAACATGGTCCAGGTCTTGAACCTGGTGGCTTCCTTTCTCACTTTCCCTCTTTCTCTCTCTCTCTAGTCAAATTGGAAAATAAAATAATAGTAATAAAAGTTAAAATAAAAATAACTCTTTAAAAAAAAAATAAGTGGCCATTAATTGGAATAAAATTATCAAAATCTGTTAACATTTGGCTATAACTTAAAGCACACCAATATATTCATACCTCGTTTTCTGACATCATCCCGGGAGTAAGCTGGGGACCCGTCCCTAAGGAAATGACCAGCACCTCTTCTGGCTGTACCTCCTGGATGGTCTCTTGAGAGGATCCTTCATGGTCCATATGTAGGTCCATCAGCATATTGGTACGGCTTCTACTCCGAGTTGCTAATAGAGAATTTCAAATAAAATAATTCAGAGAAAAAGACGAAAATTAAGAAAATGGCACATTAAATACAGAAATATATTTGCTATTAGTGTAGAAAAAACATTTGCACATGCGCAAAGAGTGGTGAAAATATGGACAAGGAAAAAAAAATTAGATCCTTTCAATTACTCTGCTGATGACTAATACTAACTCTCCTTGAAAACTGATAATCAATAACAATGACCTAAGTCCCCTGACAGGGAGTGCCACACAGACAATCACATCTGCAAAAGAGTACACAGATTCTAATTGATGGAAGACTTGGGGGTGACAGAAAAGCATTATCTATTCCTTTTTAAGCTATCTCAACTGTTTTTCCTATAAAATAATTAAACTTTCACAGTTCTCTCATACTAATAACTGAACTTAAGCATTAGGAAACTTTTTTTTTTCCTAATTTGCTCTAGGGCACATGTGCTCACCAGATAGAGGCAAGTAAAGTGAGAAGTACCTCCCCAAGGGGTGGCCACCTCACAATCCCTTCTCCTCCATTATCTTCTCAGAATTTTGGGCACGCACACATGTACCCACGTGCCCAGTGTATTTTTCAAGCTGCCAAATCTGGGGTTAAAACTGTGTAGCCAACCATGTGAGATCCAGCTGCCTTCACTATTGCCACAGCTGGTCCAGGAAATTTCATAAAGAAACATGGTATGCATATAAAGAAATAGACTTTTTTTTTTTTTTAAAGAGAGATTTTTGCTATAGGGCACATGCACTTGCCAGAAATACAGAGACAGACATACAGAAAGTGAGAAATCACGCCCCAGGGGGGATGGCCACGCCACAATCCCTTCTCCTCCATTCTCCTCTTGGGATTTTGGGCACGCACACACATGTGCCCAGCATGAGTTTAAAGCCACCAGGATTCAAACCACGGTCGGCCATGGGGGAGTCTAGAAATATAACCATTATGCCACTGCTGGTCCTGAGAAATGTTTTAATTGGGCAACTGTTGGCAAAAACCAGAATTTGCATTTGAAAGCACTTTTTTTTTTCTGGAATGTATGAATCTCTTTTCAAAGGGGAAAGAGAAAAGATTTCCTTATGCTTGAATAAAAGGTCCTTTCTGCTTTATGGAAATATTCTAAACCAATAAAAGATAAATTCTTCTTGTTTTCCCCCCTACCTACCAGTAAAGAACTACACTTTTTTCCTAAAATAATCCATCCTACAGATTTGGACAGTTTGTGACAATTTCTCTGTATGTTTTGCTCTTATACAAAGTTTCCTTTATTTTTCAGAGGGCAACAACATTCAGTACAACTGGAATACTAAATAGGAATTCTATTTCACTGCAAAATAATCCAAAGTACAGACATAAAGTAAAAAATCTCTATAAATAACAAAAGTCTTTCAACCTCCCTTTGAGTGAAAGCTGACCTACTTGAAGACAGAAAGAGCCATAAATATAAACAATCACCCCTGTTCACAATGCTGAAGACCTGTTGATTAATCACTTTTAGTCTAAAAATTCAGAGCACACACCAATTTCCAAAAGATTAAAATAGGCTTATTTACACTCTACTGGCTGCCCCATCTTCTACTGAATTGTGAACTTCATCTCAACTTCATGAACTAGTCTATGAATCATTAAGTAACAAATTGTATAATTTATAAAAGTGCAAGTAATCAAGTCTCATGTAGCAATTTATATAAAGCAAAAGCAACATGCACAAGTAGCACTTTCAGAAAACATTTCTTAAATAAAAGTTACACAAGAAGAGGAAGGACAGCCTATTACCCACCAAACGGGGTTACTAGCGTAATATGAGCAGTAAGATTGGTGGCTGAGGAATCCCAGGCCGTGATGGCTGCTAACTGTTGTCCTGGGTCGCGAAAGCATTAAATAGAAAGAACATCAAGCCTTTGAACAATGCACACATTTTTAAAAATAGGAAATAAATGCAATAATCAGGTTACATGACTAAATAAAACAACACTGGGCAAACATCTGAAATTTACTTTTCATTATACCCATATGTAAATGATACTTCTGGATGATGGGAAATATGATTTACCAAAAGTCATTTATTTTTTCATGTTAACAGATTGCACACACCCATAATACTGAAAGTTGGTAAGTGTAAAACTTCATCTTTTCTATTTTTAATGAAGACTGATATTTTAAGATAATTAAGAAAGTCAAAAAGACTTTAAGGCTATGATGCCACATTCCTATTGGTCTCATTCCATATTACATTAAATGCACAGCAGATTAATTTTTAAAACTGATATATATATATTTTTTAAGACAGACTTTTGTTATAGGACATGTGTGCTCACCGGAGAGACAGAGAGAAAGTGAGAAATGATCCTCTGGGGGCATTGTGGCCATGCCACAATCCTTTCTCCATTCTCTTGGGATTTTGGGCATGCGTACACACGTGCCCGGTTTGAGTTTCAAGCCACTGGGTCCAGGGTTTGAATTGCTATCGGCTATGTGGGAGTCCAAGAACATAACCATTACGCCATCTGCTGGTCTCAATAGTACTCAAAAAACCAGGCATGAAGTTTAAAAATGAAATCCCATTCTTCAGAAATCTATAAATTGGCGGTCTAGGTGGCACAGTCTGCAGTGCATTGGACTGTACTACTGTAAGTCAATGGCCGAGCAGTCCCGAGGTTGACCCGAAAACACACCGGACTAGATTGCAGGCAATTAAGATCCCAAGAAGCCGGAGAGTTGGGGAAAGGGAGTCATAGCATGACAAGACCCTGTCGAGTGTGCTTTCTCTCTGCTCTCATGTACACTCACATACATCTGCACCACACAAAAAAGGTATAAATAACTATTACAATAACTATTCACGTTCACTAAGTGTTGCTGAACTCATTATCATTAAGCAGGCACTAAAATACTCCTGCTGCCCTGGCCCAAACACTTTTTTCCCTGTCTTATGTACTTGGTCTAACTTTCACGTATCCTTCAAGAGAAAGTGCAGGTTTCACCTGATCTGAGATCACCTGATCCCACTACCAAAACCCCCATGCTTTTCTCTGTCAGAACACTTAACACGCTGGAGGGACTGGTCTGTTCTTATTCTCCCCAACTATCAACTACTAACTTTAGAGGAGGGCCTGTCATACGAGTATTTGCATCGAAATGTTTAACACAGTGCCTCATGTGCAAGACAGTAATGACACCTACCCTCACAGGACTTTTATGTGGACTAAATACAAAATTTATAAAGTGCTCACCCAGTGTCTGGTATGTGATATGTGCTCAATTTTTTCAGACAGACAGGTAGATAACAAATGCTTACTAAATGTATAAACCTTAAATAAACATATACCTGTCCAACCTCCCTTATCTATGGTTTTACTTTCTATGGTTTTAGTTACCCACAGTGTAACACAATAAATTTTGAGAGAGAAAGAGATCAATTTATGCAACTTTTATTATAGCACTAGGTTGTCAGGAAAGTCATGCAACATTTTTGCACAGAAAAACATAGTAAAATACGCTATGACTTTTCCAATGACCTAATATTTTGTTATAACTGTCCCACTGGGTCGTCAGAAAACTTATAACGCTTTTTAAAAAAGATGTGTCATGACTTTTCTAAAGACTCAATATTTTATTATTGTTAATTTTTTTTTGAAGAAATTCTTGCAATAGGGCATGTGCACTAGAGAGACAGAGAGAGACAGAAAGCAAGAAATCACCTCCTCAGGGGGTGCCACTAGCCTCTCTCCTCTTGAGATTTTGGACAATATGAGTTTTAAGCCACCTGGGTCCAGGACTCAAACCGCGGATAACCACGAGAGTCTAGTGACATAACCATTATGCTTTCCGCAGGTTCCTACTGTTAATCTTTTACTGTTTCTAATTTATAAATTAAACTTTATCATAAACATGTACATATATTTTAAAAACCAAACAGCATTCAATACTATCCACTTTCAAGCATCTATTAAGGGTCTTGGGATATATCCTCCAAAGATAAGTAGACATTACTGCTTTTGTTTTGTTTTGATTTTGCTATTGGGCATGACACAAGACAGAGGAAAAGAAATCATCTCCCTGCTAGGGTCTGGGGGGTGGGTGGGATGCCATGCTGCAGTCCCTTTTCCCTTCTCTCAGAATTCGGAATTCTGGGCACATACACACACGTGCCTGGCATGTTTTTCAAGCTGCCAGGTCCAGGGCTCAAAATGCATACTTGGCCAGGGAACCAGCAGTTAGTATAATGGCTATGTCGCTGGACTCCCACGTAGTCAACCCCGGTTCGCATCCCAGACCTGGTAGCTTAGAACTCACGCTGGGTGAGACAATATACAGTGTACTCTGTATGGAAAATCTCATTTTGTATGCTGTAATGATGTACAGTGAATGAATGCAAATAAATAAATTGGAAAAAAAAAAAAAAAAAAGAACTCACGCTGGGCGCGTGTGCATGCGTGCCCAAGATCCCGAGAGGAGAATGGAGAAGGGACTGCGGTGTGACCATCACCCCTGGGAGGTGATTCCTCACTTTCTGTCTCTATGTCTCTCTCTGTCTGTCTGGTGAGCGCACGCGCCCTATAGCGAAAACCTCTCAAAAAAAAAAAATGCATAGTTGGCCATGTAGAATCCAGTTCCTTAACCACCACACCACCTGCTGGTCCCTACTGTATCCCATAATTTATAAATAAATTTGATAAAACAAAATAAAACTTTCATCTTTACTTTATAACAATATTAAGATAGTTTAGTTCAATTGATAAAGCACAGACTATTAATCAAAATAATAATGGAAAAAAGTAACTATAATTTTCTACTTTTTTAATCAGAGATTTCTAATATTATTCGTATGTTACTTAGAACTCTGTATAACAGAGAGGCTACATATTTTTTTTTAAATGTCTACTTAAAACAAATGACATTTTCAAAAATTTTCCCCAAAACACTAAAAGTTAAACAAAAAACAATCAAATACCACATAATGATATTTTGGTCAATGAGAGACTGTGAATACAATGGCAGTCCATAAGGAGTGCACACGCTAGACCGTAGAGTACAGGTGTTAAAGCAGGCTGCGCCATCTAGGTTCGCGTGAGTACACTCTGCGGTGTCTGCACAATGACAAATGCCTGACCCTGGACTTCCCGGGACGCATGCCCACCCTCAAGCAGCACATGGGTGTGTACCATGTGTAAAATGATTTTAACTGATGATGGAAAGGGGGCCTAGATAAAGCAAAACCCTTCTAATAAACCTTAACTAATCTGCTGTCAATTTTTTTTTTTTTTGGAGAGATTTTCACTGTAGGGCGCATGCGCTCGCCAGACAGACAGAGAGAGACATAGAGACAGAAAGCGAGAAATCACCCCCCAGGGGGGATGGTCACGCCGCAATCCCTTCTCCTCCATTCTCCTCTCGGAATCTTGGGCACGCACGCACACACGCACCCGGCGTGAGTTTTAAGCCACCGGGTCCGGGACACGAACCGCGGTCGACTACGTGGGAGTCCAGCGACATAGCCATTACGCTAACTGCTGGTTCCCTCTGGTGTCAATTTTTGAAAACTGAATTACCATCATTGAACATGAAGAAAAAGAGTTTTCTAAAGTGTTTAAAACTATATTCCAAAACACTAAACAGTAACAAAAGCTAAAAAAAAAATACAAAAATTAAAGTCGAGCCCCAAAACAAATTCTCTTTACCTATAGGTAATCGGTTCTTTTTATTTGCTGGAGTGGTTGCTGGAGATAGCTGAGGAGTACTGTAGGGAGTCATTTCTAAACTGCTGCTTTTTCCTGGCTTGGCTTGGGGAAGGTTTGCCAATAAATTGTCAAGAGCCATTCTATCTTCTCTCAGTTGGTCTCCAGACATCACACTCTTCATAAAATTTACCTGGCAAGAGCAAAGAACATTATCTAGTAAAAGCAAGTTTTCAAATACAATGCCTATACTTCTCAGGCAATGGAATCATCTATGACTACCCATGCTTAGCTAAAAGACTTATAAAAAAATCCTATTAAAGAATAAGGCCATTACCAGAGTAATAAGCTGACTGTAGGTTATATAAACCACAGTTCTGCTCAATCCTTCCAGAAGATTAACAGAGGACATTGGAGGGGTCTCCACGGCACGGCCCCCAATCACGACATCAAGGAAAGCAGCAACACAGCTCTGTTAAACAGGAAGAGATCATCGTGAGATAGTTCTCCTTTTAACACTGGAACATAGTTTCTGATTAAGGCAGACAAGCACACAAAAAGTATAGATTCTTGAAAATTATATTAAATCAGGTATTTTTAAAATTAAACAATGTATTGATATAGGATAATCTAAAATATCCTGGTAATCAAACCAAATATGACAGAACAGTATCTATACTATGCTACCATTTCTGAAAAGAGAGCAATAGGACAAAGAGAGTATATGTAGAAGTTTGATTGTACACATATAAACCTCTAAGAGAGTACACGAGACTGACAACATCGAGGACCACTAGAGAGCCAGCAGGTGGCGCAGTGGGTGGGGTGGCTGGACTCTCACATGGCCAACCATGGTCTGACTTTCAGAACTGAAGGCTTGCTTTCTCACTCTCCTCTCTCCTCAAAACTAATACAATAAATAAAATTAAATAATTCTTTTTAAAATTTTAAGAAATAAACAAAGGCTAGAGGTGAATGTGAAGGAAAATGTCATTATACAATATAATCTTTGAATTTTAAACTAAGTTAAATCTATAGCCTACTGAAAATAAAATTAATTACATTTTATTTAACTAGGACCAGCAGATGGTGTAATGGTTACACCGCTGGACACCCAGGTAGTTGATTGTGGTTTGAATCCCTGATCCAGCAGCTTAAAACTCACGCGGGACACGTGTGTGTGTGCCCAAAATCCCAAGAGGAGAATGGAGAAGGGATTGCGGCATGGCCACACCCACTGGCGGGTGATTTCTCGCTTTCTTTGTCTCTCCAGGGAGCAAACACGCCCTATAGTAAAAATCTCTCTCTAAAAGAAATAAACAAAGGCTAGAGGTGAATGTGAAGGAAAATGTCATTATACAATATAATCTTTGAATTTTAAACTAAGTTAAATCTATAGCCTACTGAAAATAAAATTAATTACATTTTATTTAACTAGGACCAGCAGATGGTGTAATGGTTACACCGCTGGACACCCAGGTAGTTGATTGTGGTTTTAATCCCTGGTCCAGCAGCTTAAAACGCACGCGGGGCACGTGTGTGTGTGTGCCCAAAATCCCAAGAGGAGACTGGAGAAGGGATTGCGGCATGGCCACACCCACTGGCGGGTGATTTCTCGCTTTCTTTGTCTCTCCAGGGAGCAAACACGCCCTATAGTAAAAATCTCTCTCTAAAAAATTTTTTTATTTAACTAAACTAAATGAACAAGGTTAAAAATATTATCTTACGAAATATACTTAAAACTATACAATTATTGGCTCAACCGCTGTGGTGCAAGCACTATGCACTGCTGTGTGATACTAGAGCCATATGGAAGGAGCCAAGTTCAGGTCTTACCCATGTTCCTGACTGGCTGAAAACTTAGAATTATAGTATCATGAGACCCTGTCAAGGGTACCTGTCTCTCTCTACCTCTCTCTCTTGTGAGAAAAAAAAAAAAAAGCCCCATTACCTAGTGGTTAAGGAAACCAGATACAACATGACCAACTGTGGTTCAAATCTTGGCCTGGGCAGCTTGAGAAACATGGTGTGTGTGTGTGTGTGTGTGTGTGTGTGTGTGTGCACATGCATGTGCCCAATATCCCAGCAGGATGGACAAATGAAGGAAAAGGATTATAGCATGACCACAACCCACTGGGGGGATGCTTTCTCCCTCTTCCTGTCTCTCTCTCTGGAGAGTATGCATGCTCTAAGGCAATTAAACAAAAAGGAGAGAAAGAAAAAAAATTAAGCAATTATTGCTAATTCACATGCCCACAGATTTGATTTGGTGGTAATTTTTTTAACATAAGCTTTTTAAAATAAAATAACCTTAATAGCTCTTTGATTTTCATTACAATGATATCTCCTCAATACTCCTGTGAGAGTTAATAACCTTTAGTAACATCTTCCTTTAAATGCTGCTAATCTAGGGAGATGGCATAAAGGTTATGTTGCTGGACTCCCACGTGGTCAACACGGTTTGAGTCCAGAACTGGCGGCTTAAAAATCATGCTGGGCACATGTGTGTGCATGCTCACAATCCCGAGAGGAGAATGGAGAAGAAGACAGTGAGTGGCGTGGCCCTGGGGGGTGATTTTTCGCTTTCTGTTCTGTCTCTCCAGTGAGCACATGCACCCTAGAGCGAAAATCTAAAAATAAATAAATGAAGATAAATGCTGTGGGACCAGCAGTTGGCATAATGGCTATATTGCTGGACTCCCATGTAGTCAACCACAGTTCGAGTCCTGGACCCGGTGGCTTAAACTCATGCTGGGCACATGTGTGTGCGTGCCTAGGATCCTGAGAGGAGAATGGAGGAGAAGGGATTGTGGCATGGCCATCCCCCTGGAGGGTGATTTCTCACTTTCTGTCTTTGTCTCTCTGTCTTTCTGGCTAGCAAATGTGCCCTATAGCAAAACCCTCTCAAAAAAAAAAAAAAAAAATCAAAGGAAGGAAGAAAGAAATGCTGTTAATCCAATACTGCAGCTAACTTAAAAGAACATTTAACTTACACATTGAGTAAGGATAAAATTTAATAAAGAGAAGAGTTAGCTTTCCTAATAGTTAGAATTTTTTATGAACAACATTTCACATTCATTCTTACTTTATCAAATTTTCCAAGGCTGCTTTTTGTCCGAGGATCTCCCTCTTCAGAGCCCGTCATTGCTAACTGCTGCAAAAGACGGCCAACCTGCAACCCAAAGCAGTGGTAGGGAGACACAGGCTATAGATACTCACACATTCCTCTTTCTGAACATCTATTTCATAATACTGTTCACACCACCTGACCAAGCATGAGAAACAGGGTCCTCAATAAATGTATCTCTGAGCTGGCTCTGTGGCACAGAGGTAATGCACTGCTCAGAAAAGGGCAAATCCCACATGGCAATCCCAGTTCAAGTCCCTGGTCCAGTTAGCCAGAAATATACCAAGCACGTGCACGACTGCCCAAGATCTGACTGGTTGGAGGACTGGAAGAGTATCGCAGTGTGACTGAACTTGTGGAGGCTACTTACATGTGTTCTATCGTGTATTAAAGAAGAACAAAGCAAAAAGTGCATCCTGTCAATGTCGGCTTTTACTGCTTTTAGACTAAGAGTTATAGAGAGTAAAAAGAAATGTCTGCTATAATTTCAACACATCTAATATCAACAGCAAGAAATAAAAGTACATTTGTTTCTGATATTGTACTTTCCATGTGCTTAGGAATTTTTAATTTGCAAAAAGTTACACACTCATTAAACTACTTCCAGTTAATATTAAATGTGCTTCTCTAAAAAAGTTCACAGGGACCAGCAGATGGTATGGTGGTTAAGGCACTAGACTCCCACATGGCCGACAGAGGCTCAAGTCCCAGGCCTGGACTTGCTTTCTCACTTTCCCTTTCTTTCTCTGGTCAAATTAAAAAATAAATAATAATGACAAATAAAATTAATTAAATAAATAATGTTCACAAAGCACTCAAAGTAAAAAAAAAAAAGTTTTCCTAGATTTTAAAGCAACAATT